GTACCACTGCTGTGTTTCAGGTAGCAGGGCTGGCAACCTATGTGGTCATTTTGTTTCTGGCACTGAAGTCTGCTGAAAATGATGCTAGCTGTGTTGCTGTGCCTTATGAAATGGACTGTTAAATCTGAGCAGCTCTGTACATGTCTAGGAAGCCTTTGGGTGATCTCTGAAGTGGAGTAGATGTAGAGATGCACAACAGCTCCAAACACCCCATGGGAAATGAACCAAGCTCAGTCCCAATGCAGAAAAGAGAAATGGGGAATTGCAGAAGATGTGAAGTTGTGTTAAGTGAAATGTCTGCTTACTTGCAGCTTATTTCAAGGCCAGTATATCAGCTCACAACTGAGCCAAGCCCAGCAGAGGCAGCTGATTAAAGAGACTGTAATAGAGGAATGAGAAGAGACGACTATGTCAGCAGTAGGAATCAGTAAATCTACAGCTGTGACTGATGATAGGTTAAGAAAGAGAGATAAATCTTACATATGAACAATAAGAAAAAGGTAAGTAGGGAAATAATTCATAACTGCTGTTTTCTTTGACAACTGTTTTCTTTGAGCTATTTCTTTTGTCTGTAATATTACCCCTGAAGAAAGCTCCAGGTAAAATTCTTCAGATACAGTAGCAGTCATCTTTGTAGTTTGGAAGGAACACATTTGCACAGCCCCAAAGGACGGGAGGTTTCCGAGCCACATACCAACAGCTTTTAAAAACAATACTGTTCTAAGAGGAGAAGATGGTGTCGGTGTGCAAACATTTGGAGGATGGCTGACTCATCACTTGATGCTTTCAGGACAGATAGGTACTGGAATGAGGGAATGTGCCTTTTCAGGATTATGGTGGCTGCTAAATACATACATAAGGATGCAGTGAAGGAACAGCCCCGTTAAGTCCTGAAAGACCATGATAGTTACAAAGACATGACATCTGAGGAAGATGCATTTGCCAGTGGTAAGACAAAAGCTCGAGTGCACTTGACTTAAGGACATCTGCAACATTGAAACAACTGGGAACATCTACAGGAAAGAGGAAGGTATTTCCTAAGTGCTGTGTGTGTTGCGAGAGGGCTGCCTGAAGTAAGCTGAATTTACTAACAGCAGCTAGTTAATAACTGTTGTCCTGCCCAGAACTGATGGCACCTGCAGCAGGCAGGGTGCTGACACCAGTGTTGAACAGTCTGGGTTCCTCCAAGTAACTCCCCGAGTTTCAGTTTTGTTTCCTTTTATAATATATCTGGTTTCATGTACGTAGCCTGTAGCATCTCTCTGGGGCTTTTGTCTTCCCTGCTGGAGGAGGAAACACTGTTGTGATCAGAGGGCAGCTGAGCTTTTTACCTCGCGGGACCTTGTGTCCATCTCAAACACAAGGGCCCAGGAGCTGCTGCTGATGGACCAGTGCCCTCCCCCAAGGGTGACTTTCTAGCCTTCACTCCTAACCCAGGGAGATGATGATCCATGATGTCTGGCCTACTCCACTGTAAAAACAACAGCAAGGACACAGAGCCACAATGAAACAAAGCAAGGGAATGGGTAAGGATGTTAACGTGTTTAAACAGAAAAATAAAGCCCAAGAAAACCACTATCAGTGTCATAGTTCATGGGCTGTCAAAGTCAATCATGTAAACCCCAGTGAAGTTATGTCTCTTGCAGATTTTTTTTATTATTTATTACAGACTATAGGGAATTTACCTTCCAGTTGGATTTCTTTTGGTGCTAGCATCTTTTTCCCTTAGGCCATTTCAGGTGTTTTGGCAGTCCTGTTGTAGTGAGACTTTTCTCCTCAGATGATCCATAAAATTTCATACTCATTCCCCTGTATCTGCTGCCTTAGTGCTTATTATGATCAGGAGCTGACCCCAGAGTTCATGTATACATTGAATACAATTCTTTGTTGTGCCCTCTCCTCACGGAGTTTGGCAGGGAGGATGTGTGTATACTTGAGCTTTCTGCTGTAAAGCTTCTGTATTGATCTTGTAGAAAGAGTGGGGATTTGGAAAGAGGCTGTTGTTTTCCAGTGGGGCAAGGAGTTTTTTGGTTAAAACTTGAGAATCAGACAAGCTTGGCAAGAGGAGCATTTTTTGAATCAGCCAGACCAGATCTGCCTTTACTTAAAATCTGTACATGCAGAAATTTTAAGGAGGGTATTAAGCTGCAGCATTGCATCAGGAGAACAAATTGTCACAGACTGATCAATGAGGTAAGGATGGGACAGAGTCACCTAGCAACTTCTCAGAGCTGTCTCTTCAATTTATCCTGTCATGGGTGTCACGCATATACCACAGTTGGTAGTCTTTGCAAATCTTTCTCATCTAGCACTGCAAAATAAATCTCACAAGAAATTGTATCCTTGTCACACATCAACTCATGATGGCCCAGGCTGTTTTTTCCCCACCTGCCTGCAGAGTCAGGCAAGGGCTGCACGCTGGTTCTTTGCACAAGTTGCCAACCTGCCTGCATAGAGATACTGAGCAGACCCTGCACGAGCTGTTAGGCATCTGTCCACCTTCTTTCTTGTATATGGTGGTTGAGAAAGAACGGACAGTGATCAGTGTTTATGATATAAGTTATTCACTATCTTCTGTTACAGGAGGTGATTCTGATTTACAATTTTGTCTCCCAGTGAATAACACTTATTCTGGCTGATTCTGGATAGAGCTTTTATTTGGGACTGGAATTTGGAAGTTCCAATCTTCACTGTATGTTTTCCTCACTGCAATACATTGTGTACATTGAGCTACCACATAAAGTCAGTCAGAGACAGTGCCCTAAATACTACATGGAAAATAAATGCTGATCCTTGTGTTATTTTTTAACTGCGTTCTATTCTTTCTGTTGCTACCAGGCAGGACATGGCTGGCATCTCTTGCTTAATTAAGCTGGTGCCTTTTACTTTTGTATATGTTATGGTCTGGACTCTCTCTTTCAGATTTGACTACAGGTCAGGTATGGGAGCTGTGTTGCAGGGCTACCACAGTTGTCTTGTACACTGTAGGAAGTCTAAAAGGCATTAGATATTCAAGTTTAAAACAGTTAGATCCCATTGGTAAGATGACACATTGGATGGATTCTGCACAAACAAGGTGAAGACATGAAAGGATGAGATTATTATCAACAAGATGATGAATTGTCACTGCAGCACGCGAGTTGCCTAGTAACTGTTGAGGTTTGCAGGAAGATCTTGCAATTGAGAAGAGAGGAAATGAGGGAGGACACAAAGGGGACAGCCAGGCCAAGTACCGTATGGCATGAAGACTGGATATTTCACAAGGTCAATAGAATGAAAAATGATGGATTTCTAAAAACTGAAAGATGTGGCCTTTATAGTTGGCAAAAACTAGGAATGACATTGCTTGCATATATCCTTACAAGTAATTATTAACATAGGTTAATATATTAATCAAATAGCTACAAGAAAACCTTTTCACTAGAGAAATTTGGGCAAAAATAGCCTTTAGGTGGGTGAGCATGTGGATTAGAATCACAATGGGAAGAGATAGGGAAAATGATACAGGACAAAGTAACTCAAAAACAAACAAAAAACCCCCCTACCCCTCTCCAAATAAAAATAAAATAGATAGGTGAAGTCAGGGAGAAAATAGGTTTCTGCTAACTTAAAGGGTTTGTGAGTTTGGAACTATGGTCTTGGTTGGATCATCACTGAACTATTATCTAGGCTGTTGCAGTCTTGATAAAATCAAGATTACTCTGACTAGGATGACATAAGAGATTGGCAGCTCAAAGATATGGGCACAGAGTTCCGGACACAAAAGGAGTAACTAATTGAATAAAAGAAGGAAAAAATTCTGCACACTGGCAGGCCCAACTTTCTATAGAGAATAATTTATTGGATTTACATTTTTTATTCATAGGTCATCTGTGAACACATTGCAGTTATTCATGTGCTTTTAATAGAAGTTTGTTGCATAATATATTTATTGAAGATCATCTGTAATGTACTCATGAATTATCTACTATTTCTGAGGAACACATTGTGACTTTCAATAACTTGAAATTAAGTCCTTAAATGACCAACCGGAACTTAAAATTTGCCTCTCAGAGATGTTCAGGACATTGAAGTCACATTTTGAATTTTTGTTGGTCTCGGAAGAAATTTCTGTGGAAAAATATTTATTCTAACTTGTCACCGATAAACATATAAGTCTGGTGCAATAGTAATGAACTTAAGCATTTTCCCAAATAGGAATTATATTTGTTATTTTTTTCCCACATTCGTGCTTGTGGGGGATGAAATTACAATCATTAGGGCACAAAAGATAATATTAGTGTGTTTTGGAGGCTGCCCATTGACTGGGAAGCGGCAAGCAAACCAGTACTTTTTGTACTGCATAAAAATTGATGCTCTTGATTCCACATGATGCAAAATAGCTACTATATTAGTTCTTCTTCCTTAATTCTATTAGTTTAAACACAGCACAGACTGTTATGATCAGATACCTTTGCAGGTTTCTTGCAGAGTTTAACCCACATGTTTCTAGTAGCTCCAGCGGGGAAGCCAGTAAACGGATTTTTCCAAATATGTGACAGATAAATCATACCTTTTTTGATTAAAGTGAGTACTTTTGAATGTATTTTCAAGTAAAGTGGTTTCTGCTCTTTGCTCTCCCTTTAGTTGTCTTGTCTTCATGACAAGAAGATCTTGAACAACTGGAAAATTGTTCTGAAAGTAGGTTGTGACTCTGTAAGGATGCACTCAAATTCTGATCTGCACCTAACAAGAGTTTTGAGTGTGCAAATACTGAACAGGAAATAGAAAATGGCTCTGAGCAAAAGGATCTGTGGCACATCCTATGGCTCACAGGATGAACATCAGTTCATGTCAAGCTGTTGCAGAAAGAAAAAAGGCATATGCTGTAGTGGGATGTGTAAACAGGACGAGAGCTTGCATGCGCTCTTGTTTAACCTAGTGAAGATAAGACAGAGGAGACATCAGTCTTCGAATACAGAAAAAAAGCTGCTGCCTGACTTCAGTCACTACATCGAGACATGATGGGCTTAAAACATGGCAAGGTAGGTTTCAGTTAGTAACAGCTGGGGATGTTTTGTGTAGGTTGCTTTGGGATCTTATGCGTAATCAGTCACTGGTGTCTTCTAAGAACGTTAGACAGGTCTCTGTGAGGCGTAGTATAAGTAGATAGCACAGCCGGTCCTGCCTTGCTGCATTGTAGGGAATGAGCTGGATGATCTTAAGGTCCATTGGGTCTGTTCTCTGATTAGCCAATACGTATACTGTTAATAATCACAAGTATTATATCACAAGTATCACAAGGATTTAGATTGTAAAGTCTTAGAGTGAGAACTGCCATCTACTATGTGGTTGGATAATGTCTAGCAGTTGAGTGGCTGCTCTGTAAAGATGACCACAATCTCACAGGTTTTTTCTTCTTTTACTTGTTCAAAGTGCCTGAGAGAGCAGATGAGCTTAGTGTGTTTGTGAGGAAGATATCAGGTCAAGGACCTGGCAGGAAAGGTGAGCAGAGTGCTCTTTCTGGAGCCAACTCAAGACAGCAGAGCTTGATTAGTTGATTAGTATCTGATTTTCAGTTAAACATTTATTTATTTTTATCTTCCGCATAATACATGGACTATAATGCGTGTGCAGGGGGGTTGGACTAGATGACCTCTAGAGGTCCCTTCCAACCTTAACGAGTCTGAGTCTATAAAAGAGGCTGCTTGGTTAAGATGCTCGTTGTGCAGATGACCCAGAAGCAAGTTGCTAAGAGGCTTGTGAGGACGGTGCATCATAGAAATAAGGAAGGGGCACTCTAGAAAAAGAAAGTAGAGGGGATAGTGGCAATGTGGGAGAGAAGGGAACATCCTTGTGGCTAGGGGCTGCTGTAGCCCAGTGTTTGAAAGGGAAGACTTTAAATATTCAACCCATGTATTTGAGTTGATTACTCGTGGTTTGTCACCTAATTTTATAAAATGTATCAAATATCATATGGATACCATAGAAAAATACCATCTTGCCAACACAGCTGGGCACAGAACTGGGCTATCTCCTTCCATCATTCTTTGCTTGTCTTTTTGCACAAGAAAGAAATCCTCTGAGGGCGGTAGGTGACGCTTTTTGTTTTTAGTCCGTGGGGCTTTGACCTGTTCGGGTCCTGTTTCCACAGCTCTGCCTGAGAGCTTCTGCCTATAGCCCTCTTCCAGAGACTAATGACTTGCTCAGGAAAAATGCTCATGCAAAATAAATTTCTCTGTGTAAGTCAAGGGATGAAGCCAGAGTAATTGCAGATATTAGAAACTGGTTTTTGCCCTCCTACACCAGGATATGGACAATACAGTCCTTGTATTTAGTTTTATTATCTTATTTTGCTGTATTTCATTCCACTCAATTGGATTTCTTTCTCCTTCATCTTGCTTTGAGTGCTTTTTCCATATTAACACAGGTATCTGCACCACACAGACATTTCTAAACTCTGAGAGTACCTAGACATTTATATGAATCCAATTTCTTTTGTAGCTGAGAGCTTGCTGCAGGTGAAGACTTTCCAATCCATCAGTATTGACTGCAGCCCCTGCTGCGGTGAGGGCCTGCCATGCCTTGTGTTTCTGTGAGTACGCTGGGGTAGCAGTCTTGCTGACTAAAAGAAATGTTTGAGGACTTTTTTAACTGCTTTTTTAAATGATGACGGTTATGCCTATGTTGAGACATGTGGTGCCATACAGAAATGTCAAATCTGGAATTGGAATGAAACAGTAAACAGAGCTAGTCACTATGCTCAGAAACCATCTTGCTTTATGCAGTGCCCCAGTTCCTTGGAGCTTCTGCTGACAAACACGGTGAAGCCGCAGATCAAATATTGGTTCCTGCAGGATCATGTTCCTTGGCCTCACAAAGTTACCGGGATTTGTTTTCTCCCTCCACCACACTGTGCTCCAGTTCATCCCCTGTCTGTAGCAGCCAGGGCCTGGGGACTTGAGGCCGCGACATGAAACTCTCCTCTGCCACCGTGGGGATGGCCCTGCCGTGCACGCTGAAGCCAACACTGGCGCAGAGGGTGTCGAGGACAATAGGTGCAAGGAGGAGATGCAGCGAGTAATCGTGCTTCTAATGAATGACAACGTTTGAAGGGGGGAGAAGGATGGGGCGTTTGGGTGCAAGGTCTGTACAAATTGTTCTGTGCTGCTGTTTTTCCCTTCATGCACCTTTCAGAAAACACAATGCCTTAAAATCCCATGATGCCTTAATGGGCTGGTGTCCACTGAAAATTATGGAATTATCTTCTTTCAGAATTTACACTAGTAATATTGATAAAAAATATTTCACTGGCTTCTATGTGGATCACACAAGCCCTTCACATTTGTTAGCCTTATGACGATGAGAAAAATCCGTGAAGGTCATTCACAGATTTCCCTCATTGTACCACCCATGTCATTTTATTAATCTTTATATAGCAAATGTTGCCCAATTTAATTATATTTAGCTGAACATATTTTAAAACTCACAAGAAAAGGTGGACTTTTGTGATACTTTGTTGTGTACAAAGAGGTGTGAAATTAGCTTCAAGAGATAAAGCCTCTTGGGAAGCAGTGGCCTTAATTGCTTTGTACCTGTTGGACCACTCTGGTGTGGGTACGTGCTTAAATGCACACCAGTGTGTTTCTACCAGACCATTTCCAGATGATAAAGATGGAACTGGAGAGAGGGGAGCTGGAGAATTTGCTACAGATACTCACATTGCTTTAAATTGGAGTGGGGGAAAAATGGCACTGGAGGCTGATCCTATTGCCTTGGGCATTAAAATTTTATTCTTGTTCCTTGTGTTTATTTTTTCTTTCACTTCGTCCCATGTAACTTTTCCTTTTCCCCACTCCTTTCTAAATTATGTTTTATTTTGATATCTGAACTGTAATTTCATGTGTTCACATACAACAGAAGTACCTTTTATCACCTTCTTTGACAGTTATCTTAGAATGGGGTGAATCAATCATCTGCTAGGCAGACATGTCTTTCTCTGGTCATAGAATAACTGAGCTTAGATGACTGATTTGGATTCAGTTCTCAATGCTTAGATGGCTGCAGTTTGGCCTGCCAGTTTCCACCTTTGCAGAATATCAGCACATCTTGGTGTTTGTGTGTCTCTGTTGCAATTTAGTTTGTACATATTGAGCATTCATCTTTCACCTCAGAGTCTGAAACAGCAGTGTGATGTCTGCCAGATAGCAGGTGAAAACATGACATAAAAAATAAAACTACAGTTTTAAAACAATAATAGCTGAAGCATATCTGCTTTTTTAAGCTGACCCTACTCCTTTAGAGAAATGATGCTTTCCTGGATTTCAGACAGTTGGATCATTGTTAGTTCTTGATTCTCTCGCAGTGTCGCCTGTTTGGGAGAATGAAGTGATTCTTTTGAGGTTTGAGAGTATATATTTTTTTAAAGGTTACTCATTCTTTGGGACTAATTCTTACATCAGTCAAAAACCATATTAAGAAGAGTTCTGGAGTTAGCCTGAGGGAATTTAGCATAAGAGGACATGTATATTTGCAGATGGGCTTATGGGTTCATTGTGTTTGATGTGCTTGTGTCTAGTTAATTCTGGAGGACACCATCAACTACAGGAAACAGCTTCTGCTTGTGGCAGAACGTCACAACCTCCCGCCTTCTCCTGTGAAAAGTGGGTGGAAGATGTCTCAAGTGCTGTTCCCTGTGTGCCCCCATGTACAGTGGGCTCTGAGTTGCTTATCAGTCCAGACAAAATGTCCTGAGGTCAACCAGCTCGTATTGGCAGTGCTGCCCACCAGGGCTGGCCTCGCTGGCTGCCCTTGTGGCCTCTTCCTGCAGCTGGCGAAAGCCAAGCAGGGCAGCAGATGTGTGCGTGCAAGGGATGCTTGTGCTCAGAGCTGCATCCTTAACTGCAAATGTAACTCAACGGCGGGTATCTTATAGGCTTTTCAGCAGCAATTAGGATTCGTTAGGTGGTGTAATTGCTAATAAAGTCTGCCCTGGTCCCAGCTACCTTCTTTCCAGCTCTTTTCTATTGCAGACCAGACCGAAGAGCAAGGGCTTCTTGTGGTCTGGCCTGTAATTCCCATCCTGAGCAGCTGCCGTGGCTCAGAGTGGCACAGCATTCACCTATCTGGTGTGCAGGTTAGTGCTCCAGACTCCGGGAATGGTGATGGATGTGCTACAGGACAGGAGAAGGCTGAGACGGTGACAAATTGGTTATTGCCAGGAACATTTCTGTGTACAGTCCTTGCGGCTATGGCTGCATTATTATTGTTTCCCCCTCTCACAAACAAGAGTACTAAAGCTGAATAATATATACATTTCATATATATTGTGAAATTTATCATGTGAAAACCAAAGTCTGCCTGTGAACATTTAGCATAGTGGTATTTGAGCTGTTCAAAGAGGGTTTCCGCTTTCCAGAGAGGTTTAACAACTTCATGTTGGAGATTTTTTTAAGCATAATGCTCTTATTTCTCTTAAAGGAGGAGAAAAAAAGGAAAATATTTATATCTTTAGCCTCTTGATTATTCTTATCTCTGCTAAAAATATGACTATAAATTCTGTGTATTGAAAATTAATATGTCCTCTTGCTATTACACATACTTCCAGAAGGGGGAAGAAGTATCCACATAGTCTTCATGCAGGGGAGAAAGAAGGACCTTTTATCTGTGAGGTTTCCTATACTCACAGGGCATAACTTTGGGTTTCTGCTAAACCCTTGGGGAAAGATGAATTCCTATTAGAGCTACACTGGCAAACATATTTGAAATTAATATGTAATCAGATACATCAGGTACTCGCTGTGCTAGGACAGTGTGGACTTGCTCTTTAGGGCGCAGTGCTGCCCTACCTGGCTACTCATCAGACACAAACTGCCTTGGTGTTAGCCCACACGATGTGGAAATACAAGCGTGGAAGGCTGTCAGCTTCATGATCACAGGGTGAGACGAGGTCTCGACCATATCTCACTCTCCATGTACTGTGTAGAGCACCTAATTTGTAACTGTGCTTTCTACTCCCTTACTCAGTTGCACCACTGCAAATTAGCTACGAAATACTGCAATTCAGATCTGCTCTTGCTAAACGGAGCACAAAGAGTGGAGAATTAGGCTCTAAATTTAGTCTGTTTAGCATGACACGCCGCTGAGTATTCTCATCTGTTTTCAAAGATGCAATAAACGGCATGGCTATACTAGTAAATGCCATTAGCTCTTTGAATTAATAGAATTACTGTTGGCAGCCAGTGGTAATAGATTAGAGCAATTCACTTCTACTACATTAGAGTAATTCTTGGCAGTGTGAATATAATAAATCTGAGGAGTTTACAATACAACTCTGCAGCTAAACCTCGGAATATGAATTCTCAGCCTCTAATCACTTGCTTTTTCTCTTTATTTAGGTCAGTCAGTGTGATGATTTTTTTTGTTAGAAAGTCATAAAATTTCTGATTTGAATTTACTGGTTTTCAAAATGAAGATGATTGGATAATTTTTTTTTTCTTTTTTAAAATCCTTTTTCTTAACCGGACACATTTTCAAGCTTAAAGATATTTGGTTGGAGTGACACATTCTGTTAGGCAGATAGATAATAAGTTGTCATTGTCCACATGCATAAGCTCATGTTGCCTTAACTGGGCTATGAATATTAAGATACCACTTCTGATCTTCAGATTCTTTAGAGGTATATTCAATAAAATTAAAACTGGGTCCCCAGTTTACAATGTGTGTAGCTTATTCAGTGTTCCCAGGGTTTAACGGCTGCACTGATTCAAAAACCAACAAACAAATCCCTACCTATCTGTGTATGTGTGTGTATATTTTGTCAGTATTTTGTCACTGCATTTCCTGAGGCTCATATTGTTATCTCTTGCTGCTGGTATAACCCACTGGTGTAAGCTGTGTTATTGTTGGTTTTTGTGGAAGAATCTAGTCCTGGTGAAGATTATGGTTCCTTCTGTGTGTGAACTGGTCTCTGCTGTTCCTGCTCTGTCCTGGCTAGAGTGAAGACACTGTGCAAGTGATAGAGCTAAATTTCTGACTGAACTGGTTAAGAAAACAGATTGTGCAATTATTCTTTAGTTATTTGACTTTAAAATTTTAAATGATCATTAAGTAGCCGCATTGAGAGTAGAGAAGAGAAACTCCTCTTTTCCCTGTAAAGATGTTGGCATGGCAGTGAGCAAAACACTCTGCCACCTTTAAAGTTATGAGTTTAATTGCTGAAGAGGATGTTTGCTACCTTATAATAATGACATGTTTAGTTATCAAAAGTATTGAAAGATGTTGATAGCTGCAATGTAGAATAGAACCTTGTGTGTCCCTTGCTAGGAGAATAGATTTATGTGGACTATGGATTGTGGGAAGATCTGCATTAATATTGAAAAATATTTCTTGCTCTTTCCCCAATGGCATATTTGTGGCTGGCTGGCAATTTCCTCCAATTTGAACACAAAGCAGATGTTTAACATGATGGCTGCACTCTGGAATGACTACTGACAGGTGATACTGTGCCTGGAAAAGGAGAGCCATTAGTCATAGGTGGGTCACCTGGGTCCATGACAGAGACCCTGGCAATTGGCTGGTGAAAAACAGACCTTTTTATGTGGAGTCTCTCAGGATGATTGAAAAACATGTGTCTGTTAGGCTGCTTTTAGGATTTTGTTTTCATTTCTGAACCATTTCATATATATTTGATATACGTATTTGACAATATGTACAAGTCCACTGAATACTAAATTAAATCTAGGATTCTAATCAAGAGGATAAAAGAAAACTTGTATAGAAAAATGCATCTGTGTAGTCATTTTCTTTCATAAGATAATCCTCTTAGCTAATTGCTTTTCTTCCTCAACCATTTGAAGAAAACTGAATTTCGGAGTGATTAGCAACTTGAATTATGAGCATTAAAAGAGACTACCCCTGATCTGAAAAATGTTGGAAGCAACTCATACTCGAATAACAAAATACAAAAACATACGGAGGCAGAAGATTGCACAGAGCAATAAATCATTCTGTGTGACTACCCTTTATGCCATGAAGATACCTCCGTTAACTTATTTAGCTCATTTAGATAATCTGCTTCTAAAATGAAATCAGAGATAATCCATATAATCATATAGTGAAGGTATAATTGGTATTTTAGTGCTAAATCTGTTGAATGTTGTCGTAACAGGTAACATTGAAAAGCTTAGGAAACATCTGTGTGACTAAATTTCACCTTTCAGGAGCACAGGTGGACAAATTAGATTTTCAACAAAGGGAAATAATATAGCTAGATAAAAAATAACTGCAGCTCTGCAGCAAATTAGGAATTGAATTAGGCTATACAGAGTGGTAGCCAAAAGCCATCCTTCCTTTCTAATTTTGTTCAAGAAGGAGCCACTGCTTGCTGTTGAACGATACTCGGCAACTTGGCGAGCAGTTATCTGCAATGTCCTGGGTCACTGTTCTGTGCCATTTCTCATTCTCACCTATTATTCCTCAGCCTAAGTCGTAACTCTGCTTGAAACTGCAGAAGGCACATTTGCCAGTAAATGCAAGCAACTTGTGCACAGAGGTGTTTGAAAATTCGCCCAAGAAAAATACTTTTGATAAGAAAAATACCATTTAAGTAAACCAGGACCAGGTTTGCCAATTAACAACTCTAAAACTCTAAAAATTCAAAATGTTCAACAAATGTTAAATATTTGGAGAAGAGATTATTTTGTTTTGAAAATTCCTAAATAAAAAACAACTTCCAGAAATGACTTTACAAATTACTTCTATGTCAGGTTGTAACAGAAAAAAAAATCAGAATGACCTCCGGAATGGAAATTGCAGTTCCCCTCTATGAAGTATTGAGGATCATTCATGTTTATGTTTCCATAAATGAATGAAACAATTGCCTTCTGCACTTGCTACACATGCTTTATTTGTGAACGCACTGTCAGCCTTCCTCCTTTGTTTATATCCTCATTTTTTATTAAATATAGTGGAGGTCTGGCATAGATTGTAAAGAAGCTGTAATACTTTTTTTTTCTTTTTTTTTTTAAAAAAAAAGGTTGTAGCTGATGCAACATACTGTACCAAACTATTGCCACTGGTTTCTGCACAAATTGCTGGCAAATTACATGTTCTAGCAGCAAATATAGTTTCAATTGCTTAGGGAATGACACTGCTGGAAAAATGTGTTTATATAATATAATATGTCTAGCATCCAAAATAGTATGTTGTTCTTACAGTCTGTTAAAACTTGTTAAGGAGTTGCTTGGATTAATTTTCACTAAACATTTTCAGAATATTTTAATAATTAGTTAAATGGTCCATTTTGGTGGGAAAATTGTCTGTAAAAATAAATTTTAATAAAGAGGGGGGTATGATTCTGTTTGCTCACAACTTTCAAATAGCCTCCAGATTTGGAAGTCTGGTTTGTACTGACTTTGTGTGCAGTTATGTGACAGACCTGTGGAAAAAGAAAAGTGAAATCTTTGAATATGAGCTAAGCTAGCAAAGAAAGTGGTGAAAAGGTACAGGGATGGTGGTGAAGATGCTGCTGCATAGGTGTGTTTTATCTCTACACACTGAACACCTATTCAAGTCCAGAATCAGGCAACTGAGCTTGAATAAAGAAAATTTCAGATATGTGCATGCGATAGGGTAAGGAACCTGTAATTTATAAGCTTCTCGC